AATCACCAACTTTCTGAAAAGATGCAGACTGCTTTGTACAAAATTGTATTCTATATAAAGGATAGTAATAGTCTTTATACGGTTTAGTGGCTAGTTTAGCCATTTTAAGCGAAAATATCATTACTAGTACATTTACTATTGAACAGAAAATAATAAAAGGAATTAATTCCATACGCATTGTTTTTTACTTTTTCACATAGAATAGATTGTTTTAGAGATTTTCGATCCAACACGTTTATCAAGATGTCAGCAAATGCCTATGATAACACCAATCTGAACTTATCATTAGGAAGTAATAATCTAGCGATATCACCAAAAAAATTTAATGTTGCACTAATTTATGTAAAAATTACCTATGTCCTGCCCTAGTCTAGATTACTGGCAACCATTTCAAATATAGCGAAGATGAGTCAAATGAGCAATTTTATATTTTTTTTTATACCAAAGCAGTCACGCAGGCCTAAGGCCCGTATCGTCAGTCGTTCCTACAATTGTAGGACGCCTTTACGGCCTCCTTGATTGTTATAGTATTTTCTCTCCTTCAAACATTTCTAGATTGCACCTGTTCCGTGGGAGCGTCATTGCTCTCCTATTGTGAAGGTATGTTTTCTTTTTGAATTGTGGGAAATTTCAGGCTGATAAGACATCATATAAATCAAAAGGGTGACCGAGGTACAGGTTACTAAATTCCTTGGTATTATGATCGATTCAAGGCTTACTTGGAAATATCATATTGTCTGTTTAGGCAACAAAATATCAAAGAATTGCTTTGTGTTATGGATACTAAGGCAGTTCGGAAGTACTGAATTGCTTAGGTGTACTATTTTGCTCAAGTAAAGTCAGCCATGAATTACTGTATCGTTTGCTGGAGCAGCAGCTCACATACATTGGATTTGCTAGTTGAGCAGAAGAGAGCGATTCGTACAATAATATTTAGTAGTAAGCTCACTTCTTGTCGGGAACGATTCAAAACTATCCACGTCATGACGATACACTCACTTTATATTTTTAACTGTATATGTCATGTTCGAAAGAAGTCATACTATCTGCGTACCCCTCAACATAGCCTTGCTTTATCAACAAAGGGTCCCCTCATAATGCCTATCAGATTGTTCAACAAGTTGCCAATTGTTATCAGAGCTGTCACCAATTTCAATGCTTTCCAACGCCGAGTTAAAAGTCTATTTATAGAAAACCCATTTTACAGCATTTAAGAATACTTAACATCAGACTTGTGAATTGTATTAACGCAAACAATTTATTTTTTAATCTGTTTGCAATCTGTTCGTCCGTCTGTTTTTGTTTATCTGTTATTTACTCGCATCTTTTTAATTTGATTGTTTATGTTGTTATTTTGTGTACATTACGTTTGTATCATTTCATTTTTATTTAGTTTCGACTGGATCACAACTGAAGAACTGAAGAAAAAAAATAACTTAATTTTTTTTCTCATTCATCCTTAGCAATGTGCTGATAGTTTTTTAAGTCGAATGGCAATAAAGATATATATTTATTTATTTGTTTAAAAGGAAAAACAGCTTGATGCAAATAGATATTTGTGACATAACCTCAAAATAGAGCGCTGATACGGAAAAGTGGAAAACTACGAAAATCAAGAAGGCCATAAAGGCGTCCTACAATATACGGCCCTAAATGCCGGGACACCGCGGCTGCTATGATGCTATGGTCCCAAAGAAATTTTGTTAATCCGATTTTTGAACTGCCTAAGGTTAGTAGAACTGGAAAAGCTTCCTCTTGTAGATTGTTCCACAATCTAGATACCCTCAGAACAAAGGAGCGGTCGTATCGGTCAGTTCTGGATGTACGAAGTTCGACACGGTTAGGATGGGAGGCAAAAGTTAGGCCAGTTTGTCTGGCAGGCAGATCGGGCGACGGCATCATGGAAGAGAGCTCTGAGAAGCAAAGCCCGTTGGTGTAGCGCTAGAAGAGAGTTAGATCGCCGACGGCCTGCCGGTGCGAAAGAGTCCCGAGACTGTCTGTTAGAAAAGAGTCATGGATCAGTTGGACAGCCCTTATCTGGACAGCATCGAGCATAAATAATGTAGTCGGGGCTGCAGCACCCCAAACGTGTGATCAATACCTGCGAATGTATTTGAATTTCAAGCAGGCACTTCTCTTTTAATACTAAACTAAATCATTTAATAATCCGCGTATCGCGCTAGAAGTTTAAGAGCTGTGTTAATATACAGATTTTGAGAATAACTTCCACAGTCATGGAAATTACCAGGGTAGCGAGCACCCGCGAAAAGCGTGATTTATAATTTTACAGTTTCGGGGTGGACTTCTTCTCGGTTGATAACTCCAGAACAATGAGCCATGCTCTACCGCTCCACTGTTTCGTTGCCATGTATAATGCCCCTTCCGAACGCTTGCCGCGAACTTCAGACTCCTACAAGCATTTGGCTTTTTTGATGACGCAAACGTCGTCATCTTTACGTTTCCGGGTGCGTCAGTGTGTTCTGCAGAAGCAAGCATGACGGACATCATACTTGAGTCGGCCATAACATTTGGATTTTTACATAAAACATAGAAGGCAAAGAAAAGTACGACCAAGAAGATAGTGGATGTTAGAAATTCATAAAATACGGCAGAGTTATTACGTTTAAAAAAGATAACATGTCAACTTTTTGACTAAGTAGGCTAGTGTGCAAATAGAGTTGATTGCGCGCTTGCTACAAGTGAGCATGATGTAAACGACAGCTAGTTTCAAGTTGACGTCTTGTTGGAAAAGCTACATAATGTCATATAAAACCTACATAATGTTAAAAAAAACTTCATAATGTCACTTTTCAAGTTACATAATACCACTGCGGATCAACTGAAAAGGCTAATTGTATTTTCCTGACAGGGGCTGGAAACTATTGATTAATATTGACATTAAGTTATTTCCTACTGAATCGTTAATGCTTTGTATATTTTATTTGAAAAAAATATGTATTGAATAAATTTGTTTTATTTTTATACTGATACGGCTCTAGAAATCAACTAGAGAGTAAGTTTTTTGATTTCTGGGAATCAAAAGAGTTAACTCATTGATTAATTCAATTGAACTAAATACTGAGTTGGGGTGAACGAAATTCAGCTGAGTTGTACAACACTAGAGTTCAGCTGGACCCACATTATTACTGAACAAACTTACGCCTATTCGCCAGCACTGCATAAGCGAGACTGAGGGCGCACAAAACATGTGGACCCATCACAAACGCTTGCGGCAAATCTCTTTGATTTAGGACTAAAAACCAACACTGGATCGGATCGGTGACAAATGCTTGTAAAGCTATCCAAGTCAAGCCAAACCTTCGATCAGCACGTTTACGTTTGTGAAGATTTGTTGAGCGTGTGGACGGAGCATAAGAACCGCAACGCAAGAAATAAGAAGTCTGTGTAAATGCGATTTGGCCTGCGCTCCTCGCGTTCTCTCCCCACTGGTGGTTCAAACAATCTTCCACTTTCCAGAGGCCGAGCATTTGCATGATGTGATACTAATAACATGTTTTAATTGATGAATTATACTGTTTCGTCCATCATCTCTTAGCCTATCAGTGTCAGCTGCTCAACGTTACAGCCGAGTCGGCATCCGGTTTTTAATGTGCATTACAAAGCTGGCCAAGGGAAGAATTAGAAATTGTATGGAAGTGTTGTAGGGACTTATGGAACAACTACATTGTATCCATTAAAGGATATGGCGGTCTGTTCACCGAAATACAAGTGAAAACTGTATCGAATCGAGCACCATGAACCAACAACTCTACAGATAAGGCTTACGTGCTTTGAAGTCAAACAAAGTCCAACAAAAGTCGGGAATAAATCAATGCTTTGAGAAAAGGTTGTCAATGAAATGCAAAATTTTCATTACTCGTAATATTGTTTTTAATTACTCTTAACTAAATTATCCGGTTTAATTAAACTGAATTTTCTGGAGCCAGTTTAATTGAAAGTAATATACTATTAAGCTAATTTGCTTGAAAAAAGCAATCCATGTACCTGATTCATTGAACTGTTTGATTCGTTTAGGTAATTCAATTTATGTAGAAAAGGTACATGTAAAAAAGTTAAGCATTTCAATAAAAACAGTCAACTGTTTATTGGAATCGCGAACTTGGCAAAACACTACCTTTCATTCGTGAATGATCGGGAGTATGCGACCGATGCAGTCCCGGTGATTTAAAACAAAGACTTGCTCCTAGTGAATGGTGATATATTATAACGTGTTTTTGGACAAACAGAAAAATAGTTCTATCAATATCCAGTTCTCCATTTTTTTTAAATCTTTTAGTTGTCAGAGCACAGTTATTATATACAGTAAAATGCGATTTGGTTTTTAAAATTCAAAATATCCTGTTAAATCTAAATACAATAATTCCTTAGAACTCTTTCAAACACTTTTACCTAAAATAATTAAACAAATGTAATTAAAACAATAATTTTACTTGGAGCAGATAAACTCATTTTATTGGTTCACTAATTTTAAATAAATTGGTATAATGAATTTAAGTAAACGGTTTAATAATTTTAATTAAACGATTACGTTTCGGTGTAATTAAACTAGTTTCATAGATTCAAGTAAACTGTTTTAAAAATCGGAGTTCAATTAATATAATTTAAACTTCTTAGCAGGCACATATGTAGTTGTTCATTTTTTTTAATTGACCTAATTGAAAATTAAATTGTCTTAATTAATTCTTTTCTCAGTGTGTTCTAGACATGTTGTGAGTGTCTGTAATTATAAGCGCAGGAACTGTCTTAAAAGCCATTCAGCTTTGCGATTTAACTTTGTACCTTTAAGACCGTTACATAAGACGAATTTGGTGCATCGAGTATTTAGTGATGAGATGATGAAATCTGATGGTAATGTAATTACTGAAGGACGTGTAATATTTGACCCGCCTGCAAAGTACCATTGGGTATCTGAGGAACGGAAGGACTTAATTTTCAAACTCTTTGCCTTGACATTGGCGAAACCTGCACTTAAACGTAATTTAAATGAAACACTCACAGTGGACCTCAACGATGAACGTCTGATTGGCTTGAGGGGGAACTCCGTTATCTGCTATGCATCGGTACATTCCCATGTGGTCTCGATTCACTCTTGTCAAGTTCAGAGTTGCACCTGAAACCTGGATGTCTGCAAAGGAAATACACATCACAGTGTTTACATTTTCGTCAGACAGATCGGAAAATACAAAATTAGGCGAATCCTCAGCATACGGTTTAAAGCTTAAATAACAATTCTGATCCTGAACTCTTGTGAAACCTACACACAATATATTCGTTGCGACTAAAATATGGAAATGATAAATGTAACTTCGGAATCTGATAGCTGTGGTTGGGGGAACCACGCACTTTAGGTATAAGTACTTAACCGATGTTTCAGCTGACACGATAGCCTTTCTCAAAAGATGAATCCAAAATATGTTAAACATCCATGATACATTGGCCGTCAAATAAACTCCAGATGCAGAACTGAAGTTACATAAACATTGCTTTGAAATCTGAAGTGCAAGAAATACTCATTTGACTGATTAAAGCCAATTAGAAAAACAATTCTGGCGTAGTTTAGAGAGCAATGTTCAGTTACTGGTTCCTTTAACCATACACATACACCACTGGTAGTATAATGCTGCACAATTAATATCAAAGCAGCATTGATTTCAGATTTTGGAAAATGGCTTGCGTGGCGGCCAAAACTTCGATGCAATCAATTACACGTCATTGATGATTATTTATCGTCTTATTTCTTTTCATTTATATAATCGTTTTTCTCTCCACAATGCCTGAATTGCGACTAACGACCGTTAAATAAGGAAACAATCGCTTTTCTCTGCATCTTACTTAATGACTAACTTGTAAGTTGCTAACTTTTTACGAGATTTCTAAGTTTGCCATTCTTTTTCCAACTATAATTTACCTCTTCGTATTCAGTCGAAGCTATAAAATGTCACAAAGTATAAAAGCTGCAAAGTTGGAAAGCTTTTAGGAAAATTTGACTGTGCGCCGCGGTAAGCAAATATACTCTAGGCACTAGGCACTTATCCTCTTTGATGCGTAATGTAGAAAGATGAATGAGGTCCGAACTAGTAAAGTAAATATGTGACACCACTCCACCTAGCTTTATCCGAAGCACTTCCTTTGAGAAGGCGTTCGATCATGCGCGCCCATTGAGGGCTGCAAGGGGGGGGGGCGTATGCCCCCTCTGGCCTTCGCTTAAGAAGTGAAATATATCTAATAGTATAGCCGTTTCTGAAGCAACAAGTGATGTGTGAGTGTGTGTTTTTTTTTTGTTTTCAAAATATCTACTTGGCTAGATCAGAATTGTGGAGATATGCCGGTAATACACTAAACATGAATTCTGGGACCAACAATGTGCCCTCGGTGAAATTTTAATATATGGGCGCGTTCAGCTAAATTTTGAACCAACGACTTTTGGGATTCATCTTGAACGGGGAAATATGGATAACCGATCTTCTAGTTTATTGCAAAAAAAGAACTGACCAAAAATTAGAACATAACTAATACATTGATACGGTAAAAATGAACAGCCAAAGGTTTCGTTTTTACGGACTTAAACTTCCATTTTAGTTTGAGGGTTGAAAATCTATTAGCGTCAATCACATTGACTTTTGCTCGTAAAGGTACGTTAATAAAATTTCATAACAGGTTCCATATTTTGATGAGAAACACCTGTTTCAATATACCTTGCCAGGCACCTCTGTTGATTGGTCGATCGTCTAGCCTTTGCCACGTGATGTGTGGAGCTGGAACTCCAGTGGCAGAGCAGTGAAGACGTACGTTTTCTCCCTCAAGAACGACCACTGGACCCATGGGACCAGCTTGAGCACCTAGAAAGAATAATCAGTTTTAACTCTCGAAAAGTACCTCATCTTGAATCCATTATGTTTTGAACAGACAGTTGTTCAGCGTAACAAAAACTATAAAAATACCAAATAAATTACTTATTGTTCTCATCACGCTTAGTAGATGTGAAATCGCATTGGATTAAATCAACTGCTCAAATTATACTATGAAGTAAATCTGGGCTAAGTGGAAGAAAAGCTTTTTGAAATGTCAATTCTGGAAGTGATATATTTTCTAACCGCGTAATACGAGTATATTTATTTGTATAGCTCATGAAAATTCCCTGTAAAATGAGAAGGCATGATGGTAGTAAAAAAGTCAAAATGGTATATTGGAATAGGCATACCTACTACGGTAATTTTATGTAATACGATCGTGTTTAAGCGAAAATTAAAAATGAACTAAAACACGACGCCAGACGGGTTTCATTGTAATTATATTACATATTATTATCGCAGTGTGTCTTAACGTCAATCACCGCCAACATGTGTTTAATTGAAATTATCTCTGAAACCGCAAACTGCAGGCAGAACTAAGTTAAGCTTAAGTTAGAAGTTGCGCTTTATCCCGCGCTATTAGCTTCAGGCAGCTGAACGGACTTTCTTTACCATGGCTATAAACTATCGATTGAGATACCTTTCAAACAAAAAATGAAATCAAAATCGCTCCAGCCATTTGAGGGCCTCATTGTCTCAAAGGAACACATGGGCGCCCGCAACAATTTTTCTCAGGAGCTTCCAATTTGGTATGGAGAAAAGTTACTGTGTATTTCGAAGTTGTATCAGCAGCCAAAAAATTTGAAGAGCGGGTGATAGCAAATTTTTTCAGGGAAGAAGAGAGTAAATTCTTGAAACTCTAAATTTTGTACACAAGTGCTCTACAACATGCCAATTTCACAACGCGACCAGAAATATTATTTTAACAGCATCATTTACAAAGAAGACATCTCTATAGGACCTGTTCTCATTGCTTTTACTTCCTACGCCAATAGGTAATGGAAGATTGGAATTGCAAAAAATTGCAATGATATGTTTCGTCGGTGTTTCATGACATATACAATTATACATCACAAAAAATAGTGTCACGCATTTCCATCGGCATGACTGTCTGTCTTTCTTTGTAAGGAATGAAGGATGTGACTCCCATCGAAATTTGTTCCATGCTACGAACTGTCAACAGAGCCCAGAAGCTCTGTCGAACTGCTGGATGGGGAGCTGTTTTGTACTTTTTGGCTACTCAACAGCTTGGTCTAGGCTTGGTCTCTCGTCTCTGGGACAACGAACGAAAACATCGCAACCATCCTCTATCGAGATACGGTCTATAAAAATAAGAGAGCGCAAAGCGCCATCTATCACTAAAGATCTCAGGTCGCGTTCAATAGCCCAGTCAACATGTGACCGCTAGATGGGTCATGAAAATTATTCACGAGTCAAGTAGATTGACTCTATACTTCCTACTCCTTCGTTGGAGGTTTCAAAGAAAATGGATGGGTCAAGTCGTTTCAAAGGGCAAAATGGAATCGCGATTAGGTAATTTCACTTAGGCCTGATGAATCTTCGACCTCTGCATAAAGGAAATCTGTCATCTTTCTGTTTCCATGGCAGATGTACGACAAAAAGGTGTGACTCATTATGTCTAACAGGTGCATACTGTCACTGAGAACAACAGCTTCTTGATAATAGAATATCTTTCACTGACACCAAATATTCAACAATTCACAACCATTTAGTGGAAACGGCTTCATGCCCTCCAAACAATGCCTGAAATGGGCAGAAATCTCTGAAACCGTTGTAACACTAGTTTCCGTATCTGTCGTATATCAATACGTCATAATTACTGAGTCAATCTACTTGACGAAATTCCCAGAGAACCATCCTAGACGGATTAACACCAACTAAAGGTTAGACGCTCACTTTTACATTTTTTCCAAAAACAGGTGATATGGCAAGAACTACTTTATAGATATGGTTGAAAAACTGATCGTTTTTTTTTGTCTCAACTTAGACAAGCATATACCTAGAAATTATTTTTTCTGTGGCTATGTAAGTAAGAAAGATGATGTTCACCGAATTTTTAAAATCGTTATACCCCTAAAAATTTTTCGACTATGCCACGAAATGATCACGAAGATGGTAAAAACAAGATGCGAGAAGTTTACCTTATCCAAAGCTTGTTTCAAATTCTCAGATATTAGAAACAAAAAGGAAGTTTATCTGAGCTTGTCGGTCTATCTGTCCGGTAATTCTTTATAACTTGGAATGTACGGATCGAATTTTGATGAAATTATGACATTACTACTATACCAAGGAAGAACCTGTTAGTTTTGAAAATCTAGTCGGTGGCGGGGGAGTAATGGGCGGAAAAAAATCGATGAACCTTCGTATTTTGACGTTACAGAAACTCCGACCCATTTTCAGAAAAAAAAATGGTAGGGTTGAAAACAGGGGGTTGGAAATTCAATCAATCAATTTGAAGCCTTTATTTTATATAGATTATGTTACGTAGTATGGCTTATATATAAGCAATGAAAAACAAAAATATATTACTTCTGTATACATTCAAAGTATACTAAGTGACATATAAATCCGAACACCCAGTTTAAATGGTTTTATTTCAATAAAATTTTGTATACGTACTTAATGAAGCATAATAAGTAAATGATAAAAAATTCAAAATGATTGCACTGCTTTAAAGCCCTTTGACCTTTAATAATGTGTGGATGCACCCTGATGTGCTACGCATTCTCCAACGCGCCTAGGCATTCTTCTGATCAGGTGGTCAATGTCCTCCTGTGGTATCTCATTCCAGGCAACCACCAACTCCTCTAGAAGTGCTTCTAGAGTCTGAGGAGGACGTTGCAAATTGAGCAATCTCCTACCCATCATATCCCACACGTGCTCAATTCGGGATAAGTCGGGAGATCTTGGTGGCCATGGTAACAATGTGACATCATTATGTTGAAAGAAGTCTATTGTGACTCTTGCAACATGTGGTCGGGCATTATTTTCTTGGAAAGTTGGATCTGCCAGGGTGTCAAGATAGGGTAAAAGATGGGGTTCTAGAACTTCGTGGATATAACGCTGCGCGTTCATGTTACCTCTGATGAAGATTAAAGGTGACCTGGAACCATAAGCTATAGCACCCCAACCCATAACTCCAACAGTGTGATGAACATGTCTTTCAACAAAAAACTGTGGATTCCTCCTTTCACCACGTCGTCTTCTAACCCTGGCACGACCATCGTACATGCCTAAACAAAATCGAGACTCGTCACTAAAGACAATACTGTTCCATTCCTGATCCCAGAGTGACCGTTGTCTGCACCACTCAAGGCGATTACGTCTGGGTTTTCGGATTTATATGTCACTTAGTATATGTACTTCTTAGAAAAGGGGTGAAATATGAGGAGGATAAAACCTTTTTAGAAAGTATTATTATCATTATATGATATGGTGCTCAGGACGCTTGAATTTTGGAGGCTGGATTTGACATCGCTGGCTTAGCTGGATGATTGGATGATCTGATTTGGTTAAAATCGGCTTCACTGTCTTGTGTTCCTCGGTGTTTTTAAGAAATTCCCTGTGCGCCCGATCCAGGCGTGTTGCCACACTGCCATTTTGTAGCATCTCCCAAAGTTTGTCATCTGGGATACAGTAGGGAAACTGCACTGCTCTTTTATATATCTTTTTAAGGCACCCCTATGGAAATTTTATGAAGTGGAGGGTTCTAAATGTTGCATATTTGGTATCAGTAGACAATTTTTATTATACAATCCTCTAATCCTACTACAACGCATCAGTACGGTATATTGATCAAGTACATACTCCTACGGGCGTTATACATGTTCGGCCTAGCTTTCTTCTCGGAGCGTCTAGTTTAAACATGCTAGATAGCTGTTCCGTGCTTTTTCACAATTCATCACCATGGTCTAGGTTGGCGAAACGAAATGATAATTTCTAACTATACAAAATATAAGATCTATGGCGCTGACTTATTTCAGTAGGGTCTAACTTGTGCTGAACATAGTCCTTTATGTTCAGAGTCAACCTACTTGCCACCACTTTTTGTATTATAGCTCATACAAAACGAGCACTAATCTAATTGATGACAGAATTGGGGAGAGTACAGAGTCAACTTACTTTACGGCATTAGACAAGACTTTTAGAAACTGCTAGATATTTTGAACTACAAATAATTAGGAAGGCAGCAAAGCTTATCCTCCCTCCCCAGCAACGATTGATTGCAAGGCGTCAGGTGCAGTGATTTCCGGGAAGCAATAACATAAATCATAGGAGCTTGATTTCAGTTCCATAAATTATAAAACACGCCGCGTTTAACTCGGACATAGAACACGACGCTCAAAAGAAATTAGCTTTGTTGAAGTTTGTTTATTGTTCTATTTTAGAGGTGCACGGCCTGTATAGAGCAAGGCAACAAAACGAAGCTGCATACTGCGAATGAATTCCCTAGAGAAGCTGCGGATGTTGAATTTTCCTTTGATATATGTACGAATGCATTTCCCTTAGTTGGCAGTAGTCACTTTCTCACACACTACTTATTGAGTTTTCCTTAGGCCAGATCTGCTAGTTTGCTTCCCATTGCTTATCTCCAAAGTAAGTCTTATACCGTACTGATGATATTGCTAAGAAGCATGAAAATATGTCATACATGGTTGGTCATGGTCACAGTGACGCAAAGCAAACAGGTCCTATCCAACTCATTTCTCTCTTTATATATCTGATGGTATGCATGGAAACTGTATTAAATTCCTTCCAATTTCTCACCGAAGTTCAAAATAGCATAGGTTATTATTTCAATATATTCTGGTCATTTATCTTACAATAACGGACAAAGTTGTACAGTAACCGAACTAAAATGTATGATATTAAAGTACACGATAAACCTTGTAACATGGTCAATGCATTCGAGATTTCTAGCATTTGCATAATCTACTTCACAGTTTTTCCGAGAAGCAAGTAACTAAGGTACTGAAGAAAATAAAGAATAAATTTATCTGTCGGACAGACGGGATTCCATCATTTCTAGTTCGTGACTAAGATTCTGTCGTCTCTCAACCTCTAACATTGATATTCAACCTATGGTTAAAGGCTAGTACAATCCCAGATATTTGGCGTGAATCAAAGATGCGTCCTGTCTTCAAGATAGGCTACTTGCTAAAAATTATAGATCAATAACGTTATTCTGTAACCCACAGAAGCCTAAATGCCAGGAGACCGCGGCTGCTATGAGGCTCCCAAAGAAATTTTGTCAATCCGAGTTTTGAGCTGCCTAAGGTCCGTAGTAGAACTGGGAAATGCTTCACCTAAATAATGTAGTAGGGGCGGCAGCACCCCAAACGTGGCTAGGTCTTATCTGAGCCTTGTATAGAGTGAGGAGGTCATACAGAGAAAAGCACTTCTTAGCCCTACGCAAATAGCCTAGCTCTTTCCCAGCAGCTGCCGTCATTCACGAGATGTGTTCGTGCCAGATCAAGGCCTAGGTGATCTGGACTCTGACCAGCCGAAATGGAAGGCCCTTTGGCAGAACTCGAAACCGTATGAGCGCTAGGACGATATTTGTTCATCAAGGTACAGTACGGTGTTTTGGAAGCATTGAACTGGACAAGCTCGTCGTGTCTCCAAGCACAGAAAACACCCAGGTCTCTCGTGAGAGAGGAAGTCGCTGCTAGTCTTCTTTTTTCAGCTCACCGGCAGAGATCAGCTTGTCGCTCTGAATCCCTGAATGTAGAGCGCTATCATCGGCAAAACTGTAGATTGGGTTGATCGTACAGGAAAGGAGGTCGTTGATATGTGTTGGAGCCCTTGGGGAGTACCCGCGTTGACGTTATGGAATAAAGAGGAGAACCTATATGACAGATATCTTGCACCCACCTGCAAAGCTACTCTGAGAGGCAATGGGATGGGAGTTTGCATAAGAGGGCAGTGTGCCACAACTGGTCGAACATATAAGCCATAATAAAAACACAGGTTTTCTCCGCTGTCACTCGTCCAAAAACATTATTAATACCTTAATACCTATTAATTAACCTACTGTCAAAATTTCAATAGAAAGGTTCCATTATCAAAAATTTTATTTTTCAGAAGGCAATAGAGCATGCATCAATGATAAATAAACCAATTTTGGAGAACTTTTTTGGGCTAAGTATTGTATTTCGGTTTTAAAAGATTTAAATGTCTAATAACCTTCCCACTGTTCTAGATTTACGTTAGATTTAGATTAGTGGGATATAAATTAAGCCAAAGAATCATTCTAATATTTTTACCGCTTATCATTTAAAATTAAACTTAAGTCAATGTCACATATTTTAATTTTCCATGTTTTAATATCTTCAAGGTATATAGGGGAAACCCTGGCAAGGGGAACTCCCTAAGAAAATAGTATTTTCCGTTTTACATTCAAAAAAATAATCAAAAATCGGCAAGCAAAATATCTTGTTTCAACTAAAAAATTGATTTTGCAATATACCGCGACAAAACTATAGCACATCGTAATGGAAGAGCCATATTTAATGGATATATAGTCATTAAATTTATCAATATATCAAATATAATTGCACTTAACTACATGTTAATAAAATATAATAGAACTTTCCTATTTCTGTATTTATTTTACATATTGCATCTGAAAAAGGAAACAGAAGATGCGACAAAACTATAGCACACCTAATCTAAATTTAAGTTCAAGGAAAAAAACGAACTACCTGAATAATACTTTAGTAGTGGGTGGTACCTGATCTTGCTACTAACACCTCCTGCATGCGGCTCGGCAAACTGTGATAAGGACTACGAATGTAATCCAGCTCTATTCTGTCCCACAGTCTCAAATTGCCGACCTCCTGCATAATCTGCTCTGGCAAGTTGACCCCAACAATCTTCTATTATGTTCAGGTCAGGTGAACGAGCTGGCCATTCCAAAACAGCAATTTGTTGTTGGTCAAAATATCTTTTCACATAGCGAGCAGAATGAACTAGAGCATAATCTTGTTGGAAAATGTAATGAATCCCTGCCATCTTCTCGTTATTTCTCGATAGCTGTTCATGGACTGGGGTGATGTAGCGAGGACCAGTTAAACGATCCGATATGAAGCAAATACTCGTATTACTCTTTCCTTTATAGCCAATTGCTGCACACACCATAACGCTTCCGCCACCCATCTGCCGCCTGCTCAAAATTGAATTTTTTTCGTCCGAAAAAATTACTTTTCGCCATCTTTTACGCCATTGAACGTGGGCTCTGGCAAACCTTAAGCGTGATTCTTTATGCTGCTCAGTAAGTGGTGGTTTTTTTGCTAGTTTGAGAAGCATTATGCAAATTTCGTTGTACATTTCTTATATTGGTATGTACTCCAGCTTCTCTCGCAATCTCGCGAGCACTTCGTCTAGCATTAGATGCTGCCCGCAAAGTCTTTCGTCTATCTCTGTCACATAGAGCTCGTGGTCAACCACCGGGATTCTTTTTTTTGGTAGTTTTCAGGATCATTCAAGAAATTTGTAACTACCTTTCTACTCCTTCCAATCGTTGGGGCAATATGTTTGATATTTCGACCTTCTTGCCGTAAATGAACAACAATCCTCATCTCTATAACATTAAGCTTTTTCCACAAAGCATTTTCTACCACAAAATAAAAAAAATGTTCGATAGTACGCACACATGTCACAACATACAAATTATACGTTTCTTTCTCTCTGTATGTGACTATAAGATGGACTGAGACGTACGTGTACTATAGTTTTGTCGCAACGCTAAGCGTTGCCATCTCCACGTAATGTTGTCGGTCAGTTATTTTTCTGGTAAACAAATGCTATTACATTTTTGCTATCTCTACTATTCATTACATGGAAGATCTCTCTAAATTTCGGCTCATATTTGTGGAACCTTCACCATATAACAAGTGGGCTAAAGATTTGTCGCGGACTAGGTGATATGCGTATGATTTCGTTTTTATACTAAGACTATCTGTACGAACAGTTTTTGAAAGTATTTGACGTGTATTGCAGTGAATTTATCAGTTATACTAATCGTGGTTTTGATTGGAAACAAAAAAAAACTCTTAAATAAGTGATTTCGGGCAAATTAGATAAGGCAGAGTAGCATTTGCACGTAGTCCTTATTTTTGTAGTTAGTGATTTAGAATTGATATTTTGGTGCATATAGCTTATAGCACATCAATAAGAAGATAAAACAAATCAATGATACTGGTACTGTTTTTAAATTGTTTTTTTTGCAATGTGTATTACGCGGTATTACCTGAATGGGAAGCGAAATTTACTCACGCGAATTATGCCTAAAATACGCATTTATCTTTAAGGAAGCTTTCTCCTAAAAAAGCATTTTGGAAAAATGCGTCTTGATTTGTTTTAGAAATGCCCAATTGTAGCTCCGTATACATATGTAAAGCATTACTGGTTAAATTTTTGAGTGCTTTGATCCTTTCGATCTCAGCCAAGGCAATATGCTAAAACTTAATCGGAATTGAAGATAGACGTATGATATGAAATGTATATAATATATAGACAAATATAACTTGTAAAATGGCATACATCAAGCAAAAAGAATTAGTTCTGCCCTCTTATTCATGCAAGTCAGTGAAACCCAAAGAGGCGACGAGAAACAAGCGATGTAAAGTGTGAATAGTCTATTTCGAGCTGTTGTTGTCACAGTCACCTGAAGGTTGTAGAGGGTAAGCCGTACACAAAAGACTGTCGCGGATAATTAAACGTTTTTCTTTGAGCATAAATGGACATGCGCCAGGATTTAGCAGAAATAGAATGTGGGATACGGTATCGTATGATGAACTCCTAATCTAAGAGAAACTGATTTCAATCCATTTCAGATTTATTTAAATTTCAAGGCACTTGCGTAATGAGAATTAATGTCACTTATTTTCCGTACGTCTTTCGATAAATCACTCCTCTTGAATCTGCGCAATCCTGGAACATCTACACACTAGTGATGTAAAATAATTAAGTAACGCTTACAAAATAATCGTTACAAATGAGTAACTAAATGTAACGAGTCCTACTTTTTGAAAAGACTCGTTACTTTTTATTTGAATTCGTTACTTTGAATGCGATACGGTCTTTTTCTATGTATACTTTTTAATTACTGTTAGTTACTACACTATACATTACTTTAGATACAAACGTTACTGGGATCTAATGTAGCCAGTACTGCCAGCGCCAGCAGCAAGTGACTTGGTTCTTGGATGTAAACTGGGTGGAAATGAAATGATGTGAATATCGTTAGGCTTAGGCAACTTTAGATACTCTTCTATCAAACGAGTTGCGGACTGCGGAGCTTTAGGTTGGGAATGTTTGTGTAAACCTGTACACTTTTCATTTGACTTTGAGAGCTACCGGTTGGCGGGTTGTTACTGGTTTGGACGTTGCCGTACAAGCTCGAGCAATAATATTATTATTTGTACAAAAATATGGAACCATCCGCGTCCGGTTCAGGAGAATCGCAAACTCAAAAAAGAAGTGTTATTTGGATGCATTTCACCAATATATCGGAAGCTAATGCAAAGTCTAATCTTTGTAAAAATATTTATTCGCATAAAAATGGAAATATTAGCAATTTAAGGAAGCATTTGAAAACTAAACATCCGACTCTTTCATTGGAAGGAGAAAGGGCAAAACGGCGGGTGGAAGACGAAAATATGCCTAGGTGCAAAAGGAACTTAGTTTCAGGTATGTTTTATTATTATAAGTATTTTGTTGAACACCATTTACAGACTGTTAGGGCAGGGGACGCTACTCAACTAAAGTAAAGAGTGAGGAGAATGGTTCCTCCACAGTCCCCATCTGGTTATGCCACTTGTTAAATACTATTTAGACCGTTCAGCCAACGAACCAGACGTCACACAACGACGAGTTTAAAGTATAAGTACCTTCTACGTATCAAATACCAAAAAAATTAATAGGCATTAGACAAAAAATAATAATTGGATCAATCCCAAAATAATAATTTGATATAATATATAGAATATAGGTTCTAAACGAAATGTCCAAATAGTAACTAAACTAACGAGTCCAAAGTTCGAAAGTAACGAGTCCTTACAAGTCCTAAAAAGTAACGAAACTTTGCATCACTACTACACACCGGGTTAGGTAAAATTTGAACGACTCAGTAGGTCTCGCATCGTCTAACTAGATATTAGAATTTTTCATGAACTCTAATCAGCAGAGAAATATTGTATTAAGCAGAAGCATTGTAGGTGAAATTTTTTTCTATCAAGATACACTAAGGAAATATGTATAAAGCGAAGTTCTGTATCAGATTTGGTGAAAAGATTGACTTCTCTTTATAGGTATATATTCTTGACATTTTTCCATATCTTTTAGATCCGCAAGTAACCATGTTCCATGTGTTTGTAGGGTAACACGGGAGACTCCTTTGTCTAAAAAAAGGGAGATTAATATTGTAGAAAATTAGCAAGCTTTCACAATTATCTGTAACTCTTCTAAAGCCTTCAAAATAGTTATACAAGCGCAGTATTTCCGTTTGGGCAAGGCTATCTCTATAAATCAACATGGTTTCATGAATAGTAGGTTGACAACGAATAAGTTGTTAGATCTCACTTGTGAATGTATGAAAAGACAAATTCAAATGGATGTAATTAGTATACACCGATAATTCTGGAACGTTTGACGGTTTAGGTCATCCCATTCCTCTCAATTAGTTGAGTAGATTTGTTCTACCAGATTCGCTAGTATTATTTTGTAAATCCTATTTATCAGATAGGAAATAGTATGTTATATACAAGTGAATAAATACTCTGTTACGTCTGGTGTCCCTCATCGATCTATATTGGGACCCCTGTTATTTATTTTATCTTTGAATGATGAGGATATTGACGTTAGATACCATACCTATATAGACGAGATGAAAATGTCCTGCAAAATGGCTCACAAAATCGTAATGATTGACAACTGGTGCGTTGATTTTCGATATCAAATGTCTGTGGGCGCAACTACAATGTCGACAGTGTACATTATATTTATTGGAGTATTTTCAGTAAGGGTATAAAAATAAAATCCTGCTATCGTGTGTGTGTGTGCGCGCGCGCGATATTTTAGGCTATAACAAGTACTAAGACTCACAATAAACGCCCCCAGAGTTTAAGCTTTTGTATAGACATGTATTTATATAAACAACATAATAAATTAATAATTACGAGTATGTAAGTTTTTTGTAATTGCATGATAGTTAAGTGTATATTATATATTAATCTTTTGTGGATGGATGTGTACTATTTTTACTTACTTTTCATTTATACATGATAGAAAATGTTTTTATTGATACTTATAATATACAATGATAATTTAAAATAAACGATCATAGGAACAAGAAAAAAATATGAAAAATGATTATTTTTAGGTTATTAATTTAAGCTCACGCGCTAGAATATACAGGGTGACTTCGAAGTTGAGTCATTTATTTTAACAGTTAGTAGATCTGATCAAAAGAAATGTTTTGTTCCTTTAACATTTTTCTGCTAAAATTAAAGTAACAAAGTTATATCCCATTAGAAGTTTGAGTACCGCCCTGTCTCAATAATAATATTATGTGCTCGTGTTTGGCAACAACGGATATAATCCGCCTCATCGGTTCATCGCATCGGAAACAAAAAAGCGAAAGAATTTGAAACGCTTGTCACGATATTTTTACTCCAATTTTATTCAGTTGTATTTAGTCAATGTGTCAGTCGGTAACGCGTGAGTGAATAGTGGTGTTTGTTGCGTGGCTCAAACGAAATAAAAAATGGCACATGTTTACGAAAATGCTGAACTTGTGGACATGATTCTTATTTACGCTGCCGCGGCATCACGGATTTATGCGGATCGGTTTCCCAATCGAGTGCAACCAACCCCTCGTGCCTTTGTTAATGTAGTACAAAGGGCTCGTGAATCAAGTGACTTAAGACCTCACAGGGAACGGCATGCCAGTCCTCCAAAACCGCACGATCAAATACAGGTCCGCACTGAAATACTTGTCGGGAGAATACTTTATAAAACAAGGTAACATTTTTTTTGATTTTTTTTTTTATTTTTACATACATATTTTGGTTTATCTTCCTTCTACAATCATTATCTGAAAATTAATGACTCCACTTCAAAGTCACCCTGTTTATTTGCAAACATATTGTGTATTTTAAATAAATTATTATTATTGTGAAAATGCCAAAAAATGTGAAATGACATGAACTGATTTTGTATGCTACATTCATGTTGTGTTCCTTACATTAAAATCAGAAATGGTTATATATGCTTGTAGTATTAGTGGCAGAAAACTTGACAGATCTGAAACAATTAATGACTGGGGGAGTCACATTTGACAAAAACCCTATTTTTCTACCAGCGTGCTGAAAGTTCCACTTTGCTGCGCGCATTTCAGTTTGGAAAAGTAAAATTGTCACCGGGTGCTGAACTTATTCAACGTTTACAACATGTCATTGACAACATAAATGAAATGGCACAATATCTAACGCATCAGCATACACTTCCTACTCTAAAATACCTTAGGTTCGAATGAATGAATGAATGAATGAAACAAGAAATTAGAGGCATACCGGCCACCAAAATAAGCCAGCGCATAGGCCTCTTAGATGGGCACTTATGCACCTCTACAATCCTTAGACCTGAAGCCTCGCCATTCTAGCGGAGTTGAGTATGGCCTTGAGTCCTCCATTGGGTTCAAACAGAGGTACAACAGAAAAGGGAAGCTGATAATGTGGGGACTAGCAACATTGAGTGCACGACCACCCTACCCAGGATTTTATCGTCCGCCATAAATCTTCAGAATGCCAGCTGCTCTTTTGTTATTAACATTAATAATAAAATTGTTGTTCAATTTTTTTGTTATTAAATTATATGATTTCAACCATGTGCAACATATTGTTGTTTTTCTTGTTACGCGATGGTAGAAGAAATTTTGTGCGTAACTCTTGGGGAGACTCGACTGCTGACAGAACTCCGCTCCACACCGTTATATGTATCCACCTTGTAACTGGCGTTAGCTGTTGGGTGTTGCTGAATAAATAAGTAAATAAGCACTTGTCTAGAAAAAAGGACAAGCCCCGCTTTCCAGATACAATTATTTACAAATTTTCTTCAATAGTTTATTCCATGCTACAAAGCTGTCAACATCATCCAGAAACTTTGCAGAACTGCTAAATGGAGACATGGAAAGCTATAAGGTGCTATAATAGGTAAATACTTAGTGATAGGAAAAACATTTAAGTTACCCATATAATGCAAATTGAAGATGTAAACCTAAGTGAATTGGAGACAATCAAGGCTGGCATTTAGGAAGATCCGGTCGACGGACACTTTTTCCAGGTGTTCTAAGCGGAACTAAATTAGAGATAATTTATTTGAGGCTAAGGTACAAAGAAACCAGCATATCAAAAGACAGTTGAACAGATATAGGGGACGTGAAATAATAAAAGCGTCTTTCTGTACAACATACATACAAATTCTGAACTCGTCAAGAATACTTTTTGAGCACAATAAAAAACCCTTTATGCGCAAATATTTAGAGATGATGATATACCAGATGTAACTCAAAGATAATGTTGGCCAGTTTTTCAAAAATATTGTGTACTTAATAATGTTTTGACTTTGCCATGAAATAGTCAGGAAAACAGTCAAAAAAAGGTTGCGGATCTTTGAAAAGCTGTCCCCTCCAAAAAATGCTGGAATATAGGAAAGTTAGGAACAAAAAAAATTTTATTACGATTTGAGGCTTGTTTTGCTTATAACTCCGTTGCCACTGCACCGGTTTTTAAAAATAAGTCAGCATTCTCATAGAACTACTACTGCTAGTACTACTGCTAGTACTACTATATAACTATAATACCAGTTTGGCTATTTTGGTCAGGACTCCTAGATACAGCTTTCAAAACTCTGTTAAGAATTCCATAGTTACCCATTTGTATGACATTTTACCTGAAAAAACACTACTGCACGTTTAGTCTAGTTCTAGTCTCATGAAAAAACTCCTAACGGAAAATGTCTGTTAATCTGTCCAAGAGTATATGGAAACTGCACTATTGTATAAATTTGGATAGCTTAAGTTGTTTGTTTTATCTGTATATCTCTACCTATCCAATGTTTTTTGTCCGTTATATGTATTTTGTACTGTATATTTTTGTAATTACCTTTTCGCTGACATGTTACAAATGTATTTAGGTACATATCGTGGTGAAATAAACTATTCTATTCAATAAAAATAGGTTTGATAGCCGTTTCCGAGGTTTTATGACGTGGGTAAACAACAGACCGGCAGGCCGACGAAAATGAGTTCCATGAATTTTAGTCATGAATTGTCAAAAAAGACTGGTTACTCAAAATTCTAATCTTTCGCGACTTTCCCCTTCTATGCGTGGGAAGTGAAGTAATAACAAGCCACTGTAGACGTTTCCTTTGTGAATAATCCTTACACACGACTGCCTCCCGACCCCCAGTCTGAAGGCCAGCACTTGACTGCGTTGAAACAGAGAGGAAGGCATTGTTTTGTTTTAATTACAAAATGTAAATCGTCTCCAGCGGCAGTTTTATGCTTGCAGGATTATGTGCTCATTTTTATCATTTTTCGCGCCAGTGGCCTTTATCCAGCTCTGTATATTGCCTCCATTTTTCTGTCATGTGCACCCACAATTTTTAATTAACCTTTCGTCGGGCTCTAG